GAAACAAATCTCCATGCACCTTTTTTTTTTTTATTTTATGATAACAAAAGGGCAACTTTGTACAGTATAAGATGAAGAATTTATAATGCACCTGATCTGAAAGCATTTTTGTTGTGAATTATGGGGTTGCAGTATTATTATTATTATTACTACTACTCCTACTACTCCTACTACTACTACTACTACAACTACTACTAGTTGGAAATAGGAAAATTTTCAAAGTTCTCCTGAGGTAAAATAGCATTTTTCTTAGTTAAAAAAAAAAAAAAATTAAAATGCTAGACTGCAAGACTTCATTGAAAACCTGACAAATACCTGGAATTACTTTTCCTGACAGCTCCTCAGCTGTGCAGCTGGGAGCACAGAGACCTCTTTCCCCCAAAATTCTGGTGTATTTAAGGTTTAAGGTTTTGGGGACACAAATTGCCCATATATTCATATATTCATATAACCACAGCTGTGAGGGATCTGCAATTCCCAGCAGAGGAAAGCTGTGCTGTCCTGATGTGGGGCCTGAGGGGACACAGAGGTGCCAAGAAGCCAAGGGACACAGCCCAGGATGCTCAGCCTGCATCCAGCAGCTCAGCAATCACTCATTGCTACAGTGCTCTCCCTGCCTGATAATATTGGTGCCACTGCTGGATTTCAGCATCCTGAAATCCAGGATGCTGCTCCCCTGGGAGCTGGGATTTGTTAGGCACCTCAAAAGTCTGTCCCTTCATGTGTAGAAGCAGATCCATTAATTGCAACCTGACTTAGAATCTGAGATTGGAACTTCACAGAAACCTATCTACATAATCATCTTTCTCCTCTCAGTGAGGAAAATTCCTTCTCAGGAATTTTTTACAGTCAGCTTTGTGACTGCAGAATGTCCTTATGGTCACTGTAGGATCTGGGCACCTTCCCATTGCTGTCAGCAGAAAGCAGCTCTGGGGGTGAGGATGTTCTGCAGGAGGAGTCGTCCTTCAGGCAGAATATTAAACTGCTCTGCCATCTGTTTTACAGGGATTATTCTGGTGAATGCTAAAAATCCCTTGAAAGCATTTTTATGGTGTCCCTGTCATGCTCCTTCTCCTCAGTGTTCGAATAACCTCTCCCTCCTGCTGTTGATTTTGAGTCTTCTCTCCTTCTGAGCATGCAGAAAGGCTCTGGGTGGCAGCTCCCAGCCTTGGCTCTCTCTCTCCCTGCTTCATACCATGGATGTGAATTATGCATTTATGTGTCTGCACCCACAGCTCATGCTCCCACAAAGCAACATCCTCACTCTCTTTGCTTTTCCAGAAACTCCATCATGTCTCAAGGTGCAATATTTCATAAGAAAACCCTTATTTTATCTACCCTGTTCACGAATTTGACAAGATTTCTGTCCTCTGATAGCGCTCAGCTCTCTGACAAGCCCTGGCCTCTCTTCATTTAGTGCCAGGCACAAGAAAATCGCCCTTCTCTGCATCCCCTCCAAGCTCTGCTGCCCTCCAGCCCTCAGTTTATCACCTCAGCATGCCAGACTTACCTATAGGCCCTCTCAGAGAGGCAAATGCAGGTGTTGATCTGCTTTTTATAAACATCTCTTCTCCTAGAGTAGATACTGTTTCTATTATGAGGATACCCAAGACTTTAGGTTTCTATTTTAAGTTGCAGAGCTCAAATGACTGAATTCCTGGCTAAGTATGCAACATCTGAGCTAACTAAAGAGCTGAAGAGTATAAAAAATCTGCAAGGTGCATATAAAGAAATGAGGATAGGATCTGAATTCTGATGTATTCCAGGTTTCTGTGTCCAACACAGTTTAATGGGCTGTTTTGGGGAGACCCAGAATGAAGCTCTCCTGCCTCTGCCTTCCTGCCCCTGCAGACTCTGCCTTATGGAGCCTGACATTTGTTGTGCTCAGAAAGGGAACTGGCAGTTTAAAAGGGCCAAGGGTTCTAATTATAATAATTTAGATTGGAAAAGAACAGTAAGATCATTAAGTCCAACCATTGACCCAGCAGTGCCAAGCCTACCACTAAAGCATGTCCCCAAGTGCCACATCTACATGTCTGCTAAATACCTCCAGGGGTGGTGACTCCACCAGTGCCCTGGGCAGAGTGTTCCAATGCTTGACAAGCCTTTTGATGATGCAGTTTTACTAATATCCTGTCTGAAACTTCCCTGGCACAACTTGAGGCCATTTCCTGTTGTGCTGTTATCTGGGAGAAGAGACTGACACCCACCCTGCTACAATAGGCTTGGTGAGATGTGTATATTTGTCTCAAGCCTCATGCATCACTGTGAAAGGTAATTATAGCAACCCAAGCCTCCCATCTTTATGACACATCATGATTTCGCATCTAAATGCTAAATGGGGCTGTTAATGAGTGAGTGCAGCTCAGCTTGAGTGAAAGGGTGTTAAAGAATCAGGTCTGGAGTGAATCAGCCTGTGCATATGTGGCAAAGAAAGAAAACAAGTGGTGTGAAATATAGAAAGTGTAGCATTCTGAAGTTAGAGCCTGCTTGTCTACACTGCTCCTTCTCCTAAGGTGATCCCAGAAAATGCCCATCTTACAAAGTGAATGGGAAACCAGTCACTCCAGTCACTATTTTTTGCCATGACCTTTTCTCTGAATTACTTGTTCTTCCCCATACAGGTGACTCTCACTGGTCTGTGAGACTCATCAGCTCATGTCATTATTTCTTAGGCTGCCCAAGATGTGATTCCATCTGGTAAATGCCAGACTTTGTGTGTCAGTGAAAGAGCATGGATGCTTCAATAGGTCTTTTCTAAGTTTGTGAACTTTGATCCTGTTGTGGGAGGCAAAGAGCCCAGCTTTAAGCCTCAGCAGCTTTTAAATAGAGAACAAAAAGATTTCCAGCACTTGATCTTTAAGAACATACTTTTACCTTTTGAAAAGAGAGATAAGGTCTGTGGAGACTCAGAGTCTGATCAGTTCTGCTATTGATCATTAGTGTTATTGTTACTTCGTTTCCTAAAACAAGTTTTCAATTCAGTTCTGTGGCAACCAGAAAGGGACAAACAGAGTGAGGTCACTGTGCTTCCTGCTCCAATATTTGAGGTTGCTTTGAAGCATGTCCTGCCAGCAGATGATTCTTAAAGTCTTCCAAAGCAAGGCCTAATGTTCTTTTGCACATATTGTTCTTTTGTTTTTTTCTCTTTAAATAAAAGGCTCCTTCCCCTACTTTTCAAAATAAAATATGTCTCTGTGGAACTACATTTTACTGCCTTGGAGAACACGATGTTCAGTCATTACACAAATCTTTGTGTAATCAAGAAAGTTACTTCAGGACTGGAAGAGAGTTCTAAGTCTCAAAAGTAATTTTGGATTTTTTTAACCACTAAAGGTAAAACTCCAGCATTGAAACAAGAGCTGTAGAACTCACTTAAGTGTTTCTGATGGCTGTCAGATGTATTAACTCCCCTGCACTTTAACATCTCTGGTGCCTATGCAAATGCTTCTCTTTACCCCTCTCTGCACTGTAGACTCCTGATCATTTAACCTAATCAGAATGCATTTGGCATTTTAAAATTTTTTTTTCTATTCCTGTATTGATCACTCTTCTTGAGCCCTGGAAAAATGCCATGTTGCCTTTTTCACTTGATGCAAAATGTGCGGTGTGATTCAGCATAAAGAAAAGGAAGAGGAAACACGTTGAATTTAGTGACAAACAGCAGAGAAGAGGAAGAGGTTCTGGCAGGTTCTGCAGAGGCTGTGTTGTAATTATGGGCTACAAATATACAGGTAGATAAACAGAAGGGCAGAGGAAGCTTTTATGAAGTTCCTTGGAGCAGTTCCATGAACAGCACAGGCAAGGCATGGCCATTAATCCATGCAGAAAAGTCAGGCCTCTGCTCCTTCCTATCCTTGAGCATTTGGGTTGCCAGAAAATCACAGCATTTGCAGCAGGAGTGATGCCCCTCTGAGCATTTTATTATAGAGAGTGCTACTGAATTTGTCCTCTGAAGTCATTTTAGCTGCATATAGCACTGTTATTTACAGTGTCTGCGTTTGCGTGCGCTGCTATAGGTCAACTGACTGAGTAGGTAACAACACCCACACATCCTCAGGCTTGTGCCTCCCCATGTCAATCCATACCTCATTTTCACTTTATTTAGGCAAGTAGCTCAAAGCTTAAAGCAAAGTCCAAGTTCTGTGCGTGCCTACGCTGTGCTGGCTGCTCTGGTGTGACTCCACTCCCTTTCCCATGTGCTTCTCCTTCCAAGCTCTGTGTCTACAGCTGTGTGAGGCAGGGGAACACTGCAGAGCCAGCTGGCTGGAAACCGCCTAGAAAATAATGGAAATCAGGTGTCCAGAAGGAGTATGTGTTTAGATGTGTCTTGACTTTCCTTGGTTTTCCCTGCAGACAGCAGTGATTCTGTATTAGCTTTGCTTTTTGCTCTCTGTGAAAATCATCCCCGGTTGATATTTAGATATGGGGGGAACAGAGCTTGGTGTGACTTTTGGTGACTTGGCAGACTCTGTATGCCAGTTGTGCATCTGGGATACAGATGGAGAGACTCTAGGGAAAAGAAGAAGCCAGTAAATAAAATTAATGTGGGGATCTGGATGAAAAAGAAAACCAAGATCATATTTTGTCTCATTGTGACGCTAGGCAGTCATAGGGACCAGGGATGAGTGTACTCTGAGGAGATAGATGGAAACATTTTTAGCAACCTGAGAGCTCTGTTCCAGCAACCCAGCCCAGTGCTGTTCTGCTCTCTGTGGAAAGCAGGACCACATATGGGAGGCAGAACTTCCAGGAATGACAGAAATTGGGACCACATGGTACTGTACATTCTACTTTGGGTTCCCACTCAACCTGGTACATTTTAATGCTCTGTTTTTTTCTGAGGCTTTGGGTTTTGATGATGCAAAAACATTCCTCTGTTGCCACTGCCATATTTTTTCAAAGGAAAAGCACATATTCAAAATGTTGGGCATTAAACCCAGTGCATGTGTGCTTGCAAGCTTACTGCTGTCTCATTGCTATTGTTTCCTCTTTCTCAGGACATGACCTTCAGCACCACAATGAATCAGGAGAAACCTGTCAAGTCCTCCTAGCTCCCCGGCTGTGCAATTTGCTGTTCCCTTGCTGTTCCCCAGACAGCAGCTTTTCTCACCCAAAGCACAGAAGCCAGCAAGTCACAAATGACAGCTGAAAAGTGAAGCATTACCAAAAGCTGCGTGAGACTCTGTCAAAGAGAACCTTTCTATATAATTCTCCTTCCGAGCCTGGGAAGCTGTGCATCCCATCACTTCCAAAGAACGGAGAGAAGATATGTTCAAGTAACCAACACCAGAAATTGCACAAATCCATACCCATTTTAGAATATCTACACCGTGACCTACAGCATTTAGAACTCTCCGTTCAGAATGGATGATGGATACAGAAACACAAACCAGGTCTCAGATGACTACAGGTACCAGGATGGCAACTACGACGCACCCAACGACGGCTACTACCGGGGCGGGGATGAGCCCACGCAGGACGAGGATGCCCAGAGTGATGTCACAGAAGGCCACGATGAGGATGATGAGGTCTATGAGGGGGAGTACCAAGGGATCCCACACCCGGATGACATTAAAGAGAAGCAGAAGAAGCGAGCCCCTGCCATGGATGATGAGTACAGAGACCGTGCTGACCTTATGGCCGAGAGGATGGAGGATGAGGAGCAACTTGCCCACCAGTATGAGAACATCATTGAGGAGTGTGGCCACGGACGCTTCCAGTGGACTCTCTTCTTTGTTTTAGGGTTGGCACTGATGGCAGATGGGGTGGAGGTGTTTGTGGTTGGATTTGTTCTTCCCAGTGCTGAGAAGGATATGTGCTTGTCTAGTTCCAACAAAGGGATGCTGGGTAAGTGCCACTGGCAAACAGATCTTCTAATGCAACCAGAAGCAGCTGGGACACCTTTTTCTAGTCACCAGCTGATTTCAGGATCTTCTGATGACTTTATTCTTGTGTTGTGTGTCATGCATAGTCATGCCTGAGTAGATCTGACTCAGGAGGGGTTCACATGCTGGTGGGCAGCAGAATTGTACCAGAATGTGCTGTGGCCCCAGTGCCAGTCCGGTCAGTGTGGGCTGGATCTGGGCAAGGCAGCTCAAAGTCTGCAGGTCCACAGGGCAAAATTCCAAACGGTGTTCAAGGATAAATAAGTGAAAAGTTAAAGGTGAATCTAGTGATTCAAAATTCGAAGCTGTTAGAAACTACAGGTTTCCCTTTTCTTCAGCCCATAGTCTCAACAGGCAAATCAACTGTGCAGTCAGTTTCTTCTGCCTGCTAACTTCTCAGTATGCTCACAGGTCCTGGATCAGATGTAGTCAGTAGGTTTCTTTTTAGGTCTGTGGAATGCAATTAAAGTGCAGCATGAAGATTAAAGCTGAGGCTACTGGCAACATCCCTTTTGCATCACTACCAACATCTCCCTGAGGTCAAAATACAAGGCTTAGTTATTTATTGGGAGAGAGACTGGTTAGAAAGGTTTGGACAAACAATTTTTTCCCTTGAACAATAGGCAAGCCAAATTCCATCAGCCAAACCAGCAAAGCCTCCCAGACCTCCAAGAACCAGGATGGGAGCCAGCAGGGTCTGTAGTGAGAGCCAGCCACGCAATAGGACAGAGCATCTGGAAGGGAAATAAAATAGCTCTTGGAATAACCGCTTGAGGAGGGAGACAGTGTGTCTTGATGGACATGTACTGGGATTGCAGGGAATCATCAGGGACTCTAGGTCATACATGCTGGCCCAGAAGCCGTGTCTGATGCAAGGAAAATGCAGATTTGGGACTAGACCCCAGCTATTGACTTCAGTCTATTGACATTATTTTCATGTGACAAAGGCAATAGATAATTATCCCTATAGAAACTTCTCCTCTTGGTGTACTGAGGTCATACTCACTTTTCGGTTTCTCCCTTTTTTCTTCGAACTTGAGGATTGGGATATTTCTTTCTGTAGTTAGCCAGGTTTGTACTGACTTTCATAAAGAATTTAGTAACTTTTTTTTTGCTTCACAAACCCATTAAAATTTCTAGCTCGAAATATCTCCGGTCAGATATCTAAAAGCAAACCTCTCACAATTAGATCCTGATTTCAAAGGGACTTTGGAATTCACCAGCTCCCTGTGGGACACAAGGCTTGGTGTCTTTTTAGTGATGAGACCTTTTTTGAAAAGCAGGTCATTTATTTTGGTGACTCTATGAAAGCTGAGATTTTCTGAAACTCTGACCCCATAAATATCTACCTCTGTATAGCTCAAGCTCTGGCAGGCTCCTGAATGAGAAAACTTCAAATGTCACAAGGAGAACTATCTTTGAAGTATTTCTGGCCCAACCACAGGTAAAAATGAACACGAAATCTCCCCAGAGAGCACGTTCTGCTTTTTCCGGCTCAGTATTTGCAAGGCTGAAAGTTCAGGGTGTTCTGATAAGCTCTGAATAAGCAAGGAGACATTTGGGTCTGTACCCAATCCCAGCTCCTGCGCACTAACAGAGCTAATCTGGGACTGCTAATGAAGGGAAGAGAACTCTTCTTGCTGCCTTTCCTGCCCACTTTCAATCACAGCTTGTGAGAACCTGATTTTGCAGAATAGCTTCTCCTGTCCTTAGCTTGTTTGTTTGGGGGATCTGCTGCCAATCTGCTTGTATTCAAACTATTTCATGACTTTATTATGAGAGGAAAAAAATATTTTTTCTTAGAACAATAAAAGCTGGTTCATCTTAGTTTGGGGCAGGGAGGAGAGTGGGTGGTTATGGTAGCATGCAGTTTTTATTGACTGGTGGTGTACATGGGGCAGGTCTCTGATTCAGTCCATCTTATTTGTTAAACTCCCTTTCTTGACTGCTGGACATTTCCCTGCTGCTGGATCTGAGATTTGAGGGATGGCTTTGAGAAAATGAATTAAGCATGGCTTGGAAAGCCTTACACTGCCCAGCAGTGCTCTGATGTGAGTAATGAGTACACAAGGCATCAAGAAGAGAGTGTGATGAACCTGGGGTTGGTAGGGGGCTGCTGGAGGGCATAGGAAGGGAACAGTGCAGGTCTGTGGGTCTGGAGAGGGGAAGGAGACCTTTCTGCCAAATGAAGGGTGGCAGCAGCAGGGAAGACGGTGTTGGAGGTTTGACAGGCAGCAGGGCAGTGCAGGGACATGAGGTGTCTCATACTGACCCTGCAAGAAGGTTTAATCTCATTTCTCAGCAGCTGGGGCATAAGGACAGCAGATAGCAGCTTCTCAAGGGGAAGGCTGAGGAAGTGCTATTGATGGAGACAAGAACAAAATCATCAAAATCTTTCTTAGGATATATTCAACTCCCATCCACTTGCAGCTAGGGAAAAAATATATCTCCCACAAAGCTCAGTGTCCAGGACAAGCTCATGTCCCTCTGTGAATCCGTTCCCTTAATGGTCTATGGCAGTGCACATTGATCAGGGTTCAATTACACTTGGAGATGGATTTGGTGGCAACCAAAGAGCCTTCACCTCAATTTCTAATGAGCAGTGACAGTCTTGCACGAGAGTGCCTGCACAGGATGACCAGAGGGGTGATTAGAGCAGGCACAGCTTCCCCTCAAGTTATCACACGGTTTTAGGGAAGCAGAGACATTATCCACACATAAGCTACTGCCCCTTGCTTTATCCCCATGTGCCAATAAACATCTGCAGACAAGCTCGTGTTTATTCCCAAGGAACTGATTATCTCCCCAGTTTTTGCTAAGAAAACATTACCAGGTTTTCCCAGGAGAAGTTAAGGTCACTTCCAGGCAGCTGCTAACATTTAAACACACAAGGGCTCAGCCATAACAAGAGAGGCCAGGAGGGAAAAACAAGGAAATAAGTCAGGTGAGTAATAAAGCTCCAGCAGAAATAGGAAGGGACAAATACGAGCGATAAAGCAGATGCCTCCTAAAGATCAATTTAGTGAAGTTCAGCTTCTGTTAAAAGGACATTTTGCATTAAACACTCTGCATATTGCATATTTTTTCTCCCTTGGAAAGCAGTCATGGGAAAATATCAAGCAAACTATGGCCAAATTATGCAAAAATTGCAAATAAACAGATGCCCACAGTGTTTCATGAAATGTGTGAAATGGATATGACACATCTTAGGAAACGTTTACATTTCATTCTGAAAATAAACATCTCACCATCAGATGCAAATTAACAGCTATTTTAGCCCTAAATATCCCGAGTGGGACAAAGAACGTATTTGGAGTTTTTCAGTTATGAGAAATTCTATTTTAAAGATGATTTCAGGGGTATTACAAAAATAAAACACAACCCACAAAAAAAAAAAAAAACCAAAAAAAAAAAACCAAAAAAAAAACAACAGTACATATATTTAAGCAGTTTGATTTAATCAACTTATAATACAAGATGTTAAGAATAAGTTTGGTAACATGTAACAACTTTATTTTTACCTATTCATTTGAGAGATCAGCTTTGCTGAGCTTTCATCAGCAGCAGTCAAAATAATAATTCAATTCTTAAATTAATTGAAACAGAATATTCCCTCTCAGTATGATACAGCCTATTGGAAACTTTTTTTTTTTTAATGTGCTAAGGATAATCAAAAGAGTAATAAAATTTGTATTTTTATATTTGCTGAAAGACACCCAGTATCATTATTTGGAGAAATATCTTATAAAGATATATTTTTACATGCTATAAATCACTTCTTAGAGGACTAAGTAATATGTTTGCAAGCACAGAGCAGTAAGTACACAAGTACAAAAGGTAATGACATAGTAATATTTTAAACTTCTTCACATCCTGCATATAAAAAACTTGAGGCACAGTTAAAGCATCAGCCCCCCCAGATCCCAGAGCTGCAGTTGTGTTATCGTCATTTCACAGTTCACTAAACTGAGACAAGGAAATTTTTAAGGGCTTTGCCCTTAACTGTGAAACAGCTACACCAAGGCTGAGAATAAAATTACTTTTTCAGGCCCCCTTATCCTTTTTATGATTTATTAATAATTTTTTAAGGAGAATATCATATAACAGATGCTTAACCTCACAATCCCAGATAAAAAAATAAACCTAGTAAAAAAGATCCTATAAGTAATTATGCTTTTATGTAGCAACTCAAGCTTGGCTGTGTGAGTCAGGTTAAATAGAATGTGTGCAACATGCCAAGTTTTAGTTGTGTGAAGAGGATCTTTTATTATCAGCTGAGATAAAATCTGGTCGCAGCTTCTCATTGACCTGAATTCACCTGATATGACAGTAAATCCTAATCCCCTCTGCAGAGCTCAATGGCTTTTCTCTGCTTCATTTTTTTTTTTCCTCTGGCTGAGCACAGACAAGCCCAGCCATGGCTCTGCCGTGGTTATTTGCTGCCTCTTTTGCTCCTCCATGGAGCCCCAACTCTGCAGCCACTGTACCCTGATGAGACCTGCCCGTGGCAGGCACAGATTCCTGGCTGCAGATTTGCTCTCAGTTAGAAATGCCCAGCCCAAGATCATCACCTCGAGCAGCAGGGAAAAAAGAAAGGTGTTTTTATTATTTGAGAACTCCCCACATTTTGTGTAGGTCTGATATGGGGATGAATGATTGTGGCCCCATCTGTAAACACTGTGGGAATTTAATCTGATGCATTCCAGTGTGAGGACCTTTTTTTTTTTGGACAGAAAATGACTCCAAATTTGTCCAAACCTGACTCACAAAGTTTTCTTTGTGTCCATAAGGTGCATCTCTAACAGATTCTACACCAGTAACAGCATTTTAATTTTGTTTTTATTACAATATGTACTACAAGATATATAAGGTCCTAATAATTTTCTGTTGTCTAAATGATTTTCCTCTTCAAGGGCATCTTTTTTTTTTACTTTTAGTAGCCTGGGATTGGAAGGCAGGTGGGAGCTTTTCCATTTCTGTGGTTACTGGCTGCACACAAACCAGAGACACCCCTGGGCCCAGGCTGCTTCCTTACCTCCCTGACAGCCCCAAAGACTCTGGGACTAATTCTTCTCAGTGAGCTATTTGGCTCAAATAGCTCAAATTTTATATTTATTCCACAAGTCTTTGTCCTGTCCTTAAAGGGATTCTTTTTAGATGTGCCTCTTTTTTAAGGACTTTAATCCCATTAACTAACAGCAAGAAAAATTCACGCTTGTGATGCAGATTTAGGTAAACCTTGAATTTTTTTGGTTTTTTTTCTGAAACCCTTAGAAGTCTACTTTTAACTATATTGAAGTAGTAAAAATACAGTTTAGCATACCAAGAGCCATATGCTGTATCTGCAGTATATTCCTTTCCTTATTCCTAGAACTTCAGCTTTTAACTTCAAATTCCTGTCTAATACAGAGCACATAACTTCGGTAAAGGCTAATAAATTTCTTAGTGTGAAAATGCTAAATATGTTACCCCTTTTCTAGTGGGAATAGGCCCAGTTAGTGGTCACATATTTTCCTTATAACTTCAGCAATGGATGAGTCATAACCCAAAATTTATTCATAGAATTTCAGCTTTTTGGTTTTCCACCACTTTTATGAGAGGCTGTTGCAGACTTTCCCACAGGCATTCATTATACTCCAGGACTTGTGGAGTATAGTATATATATATTAGCTTGCAAATAATGGCTTATTCAGAGTTGCCCTTAACATTTTATCTGAGCACCTGATGTGTCAATTGGGAAGGTGATCCCTCCTAGCTCAGTCTAAGTCTGTGTGGTTTGAAGCCAAGTCTAGAAATCAAGATTCTGGTGCAGACCATTGTAATTTTGTACTGTAGAATATCTGATGGACAGAACTAGCCCAGCAAAACAAATATAATTTTGTGATCACTTTTCTTGGTCCAACTCTCCTTAAAATTTTAGTTTCCTTGACACGAGCTGGATCTTTTCCAGAGTAGCAGCCATCACTGTGTTCTCTAGAAAATTGTTTCCCTGCAAAGAGGCTGTTTGAGGATCTATTCCACTCCTCCCTGGGTCCCTGCCACCTTGTCAATCCAGGATGCAGCAATCTGCAAAGCAGACGTTGTTCTGCACCCTGGGTCCCAAGATCCATCAGCTGACAGAGTGTTCTATAGCAGCTACCCCAAAATTTTAATTACATTGGCCAGAACATGCAGTCTTCACCAAAAAAAGAGCTCTCCATGATAAGAAAGTGTTCTATTGATTTTGTTTCAACTCTGAAGCAAAACCATCCATAACCAGGATCCTTCCCTCAAAACCTGGCTAAGTAGACAGTCTCTGGTTGTCCCTTTCCTTTTCTACAGATTTTTATTGTTTTAAATTTCTGGGGGATCATACATCAGATACAATAACTAATTAAAGCAACATCCTCTAGATGAGTTTGTGACATTAACAGCCCTGCTGTGATTTGTCTGCTCACTGTGTGATGGATGCTGTGTTGCAAAGATCCAATGTTCCCTTCTATCCCAAGTTTGGGCTCCTTAGTCAGAATCTGCGGGGGTTTGCTTACAAAAGCAGCTCTGCTTGGGCTTCAAGTTTCACGTTGAAACATCCCATACCGAGCCCACTCTTCTGGCCAGACAGCAGGCTGGCCCTCACCAGTTACTGCAGTAAACACCAGCTAGAAGACAGTAACAATCTCCTCCACCTCCTCCTGACCAGGGACGTTTTCTGTTACTAAGAGGATTTGGATGAACATCTGCTATCCAGGGATTTTCTCTGGAAAAAAGAAAAAATAGTTTGGCAGATCATTTTTTCTTCCTCACCAGGGTCTGGCAGTGCTGGCAGGGCTCACTGTCAGATGGGTGGCTGTGATGCACCAGTGAGTAGATACAGGGCTCATCATCACTTCCTTCTGCTGCCATCAGAGTTGCTCCATTAAATGTGGCTCAGGAGCCAGGATAAAAGCATGAAGCCATCCAGCACTGCATTAAGATCCTTCCTTCAGGAAGTTTTTGATTGAAACAGTTTTTGCTTTGGCACACCCTTTTAATTTGGCTCACCCTTCAGTGAACAAGCTGGAGGCCAAAGTTAATAGAAATAGAGATCCCAGACTCTGAGGTGTGTCTGTATCTTCTCTTGAGATCAGTCCTGAAACCTTTACACACCTTCAGATCTCCTCACCAGGACAGCTTGGATCAGGAGGCTAGGGCAGGGAGTGCAAGGATTGGTTTCACAGGGCCGTGTGCTCATGGTGGAGGTACAATTGGCCAAATCCAGCTCCACAGTTCTGGTACAAAGGCTTTCAATAGACAAGAACAGATTTTTTTGCCTTTGACACACAAATCCTGCCTGTCAGACATGGTGTGGATTGAAAAGAATCACTCACAGATAGGTGACCCCACTGTGGAGTAGGGAAATGTAAGAAATCCAAACTTTTCCACATCTGATCCATGTGACACAAGCGTCCTTCAAATGCTGCAATGGATTTCTGCTGCATAGCTTTTAATTTAGTAATGCATTTTAAATCAAGTGCAGGCATTTGCAATCAAAAGGAAGAAAGGATCAGCTGCCAGATAACTCTGCATTAGCCCTTAGCTGGCTTTGCTGGATGGCACAGAGCTGCCTTCAGCCAGCAGACTGATTGTTTTGTTTAAACATTAATAAATTACAAAAACATTCATTGCCACCTTGTTTTTCAAGTGTATTTGACAGAACAGGACCTGGGGAAGGTGTTGGCTCTCAAGAGAAGCTAAGCTTGGTTCAAGGTGAGGAAAGAACTTCCAGAGAACCTTTGAGCTTTGTGAATTAGTGTTATTTACACTGGTACCTGCATAAAGCAAAAGGCAATAAAATCTGTGGCCCTCCTGCAGCAGTGGAAGTAGAAGAGCAAAGGACAACTGCCATGTTCTCCAGGACAGTGGCAAGCAAAAACTGAGCAGGGTACAGGGAGATTACCCAGGGTGGATACTCATTTTCTCCTGTTCAGCCTGGCACTAAATGAGTCGTTGACACTGTCTTTGAGGATCCTATAGCAGACAATCTAGTGCAGTCAGGTTGAAAAGAAGAATCCCTCTTTCTTAACAATGTTAGAGAGATAACTCTACAGAGCAAACTGTCCAGACAGGCCTTGGATTCTTCCTTCTGAAATTTTCAGATGAAGACTGCACTCCTGAGTAAGCTGGCCTTTAGTTAGACACCAGATCTTGGCTCAGTAAGGAAGGAAGTAGCTGATCTATACGAGGTGAGTCTGGGTAACAGACTGATCCTTTCAGATACAGCTGGGAAAAGCAGAGAGTGAGAGAGAGAGGAAACACTGCAAAGAGATTTAGCTGTGCTTCATCAGTCTCTCTGCTCTCACAGCTTTCTGAGAATAAACAACAGCCTGACAGAGCCTCTCCCTACACATCCTCCATCCCACTGCACTCAGGGGGGTCAGAGGAGTTAAGACATCAGACTTCTGTTGTATTGTTGGTGGCACATAGCTGGGACACGTGCATCCTAAGCTGCTTATGCCTGGCCATTGCTTACGTGCAGGGGATATGTGAGCAGCGGGGTTGGGAAGGAGAGATGTGGGTCTGGTCAAATGAGGGTATGTCCATATTGCCTGAAGTGATGCAAGCTCTCAGGCACGAGATGGGAAAATTACTGTCCTGCCAATGGGCAGAGTTTCTGGCATCTGAGATTTAGGGTGGTTAGGAGTATCTCTGCTTTAGTGCACAATATGCCAGGATGGCATCAGCTGCCACAGGGGCACTCTGAAATCTGCTTCTGCTGTGTACTATTTCCACCCTGTTAACCACCTGACTGTCTCTCTCACTTCCAGGCTTGATAGTCTACTTAGGAATGATGGTGGGGGCTGTCTTGCTGGGTGGCCTCGCTGACAAGCTGGGAAGAAAGCAATGCCTCATCATATCACTTGCAATCAACGCTGCCTTTGCGTTCCTCTCCTCCTTCGTCCAGGGATACGGATTCTTCCTCTTCTGCCGCCTTATCTCAGGCCTCGGGTGGGTACCTGGGGACCTCCTCTGCCCCCTGGCCCGGAGGAGCCCCAGCACAGCTGGGCAGTGTGGGTGTGTGGGGTGGGGCAAGGAAAGGTGTTCAGGAGATGCATCCCTGGTACCCAGCCAGGATGGCATCGCCACTTGGGACGTGTGGCTGTTTTACCTCACTCTTGACCCTTAGAGCTATAATGGTGGGAAAGTTTGGTCATTGATGTTCTTCTAGTACTGCCCAAATTGTGCAGAAATGTGGGTGAGACTGAAAAATGCCCACCTCCAAGGCCTCCACTGAGACCCTCAGCAGTTCCCACTGGCTGCCTGTCCCGTATTTTGCCTCCCTAAAATTATTGATCATGAAATAACAAGAGAAGATGTTTAAAGCGAAGAGCAGGGTATTACTCTGGGTTTGTACAAACTACAGAAAATTCAGCTTTTAGAGCATAAGAAGGATCTTGCTCATCTTTGATGTCTAAGACCAATGCAGCCAAAGAGAGATTTGCATTTTTCCTTCAAGTCTCACTTCTGAGCAGCCCATCTGTGAGTGTGACCTTCCCTCATTAAACATGCAATCCTAACCACAAAGACATTGAAGCAGACTCTCATTTTTCTCATGTGCTGTTTTTTCTCCTCAGTATTGGGGGCACCCTCCCCATCGTGTTTGCCTATTTCTCTGAATTCCTGTCTCGTGAGAAGAGGGGGGAACACCTCAGCTGGCTTTGCATGTTCTGGATGATCGGTGGCATTTATGCTTCAGCAATGGCTTGGAGCATCATCCCACACTATGGTAATTTGTGTTTCTGAATTTCTACACCACCACATTCCTACACCACTACAACACCCCAAACCCTTGCACAGGTAGTGACAGTTCTTACACATCCCAGCATAAATATCACTAAAAATAATAGATACCTGAAGTGCTCACAGAAGGTCTCATAAACTGGCTGCAAGATTGACTGATGGATACTAAGATGCAAATAGGACTGGATGGGGCTGCTTTCCATCTAGAGCCTCAAATACATCCCTAGAATTACACTGCTGGAGCCTGAGCTCTTAACCTAAATGTCAGCTCATTCAGGGAAAATACTGACTGAGATGATATTGCTAAAATGGATCTGGTTATCAAAAATAAGCAAATTTAATCAGGGAATTACTGGATGCTGTGAATGATAGCAGTGAGGACAGCACATGTGCTTTCCCTTAGCCAAGTATCCACACTGTCAGGGCTGTGTACCTGGTGGCACGTCTGCCCAGCATGTGATGGGCTGAAGTTACATCTGACTTCATCTAAATGGATGCAAGAGTGGAATGGGTTCCCTGCCCTCAACTGGAAGTGGGAATGAAAAAGTAGATGGCTGTAAACTGAAACTTATTTGTGCTCTGAGAAGTAAAATCTGCATGTTACATAGAATTCCTTGTAACTTTTGTATATTACCTGGGAAAACACCAAAAGCAAATATCTACTGGAAAAGATTAATTCCCCCAGTATTCAGTGACACCAGCTGTTTGCAAAATCCTGTTTGAGGAAAGTAGGACAGTTCAAAAAACTCACAAAGGAAACCACTAACATTTACCTATCCATCATTTCATTTTTAGCACATTTAAAGCACGTTCAGTATAAAGAAATATTCATGTTTTTGATTGACATGACAGACACTGTTGGAAGAAATAGGCAAACTTACTGCAGTGGTTTCAGGTAGAAATAATTCTATTACTTGCAACAACATTTGATTTTAAAAGCCCTTAGATATTTACATTACAATTATTTTTCAGATGTCTTTTTAATATTGTGGTTTTGTAGCTTCTTTTTTGATTTCCAGTGTTCCACCTACTTTTTTGAAACTTTGTGAAATCATTAGAACACCATGACTGGCTCAGATGAGACCTCTGCAAAACCCATTTCTTGATGATTTCCTTATTATGTGAATAAAATGTTTTATATTAAAAAAATATTTAAACACTCCTTATGAGATTTGAGCCCAGGGAGAGTGAATGGAGCAATGTAAGAGAATGAGGCTGTACTTTCCAGTTCTTAGCAAGGGAATACTTGGTCAAACACAAGGAAAAAAGCAGGAGAAGGGGTATCTCAAATACAGGATTAGGATTTTGATGTTTTTAAGTTTGAACCCCAGTTCAGGTTTTGTAGGTCTGGAAAAAAATGAACTTTCTTTTCTTGCTCACTTCCATTTCCATGAAATGTGAAATATGTATGTGATATAGGAGATGGAAAGAAGCCATCTCTACTGTGCCCCTCAGATAAGAGATTTAACAAGAAGTGATCAATTATGGCCCTTATTCCTGCACCATTTTCCAGCCTTACTTACCTACAGCTGCTCTGAGCAGTTCCTATCACTAGGTGATTTCTAAATTCAAAGATAAAAGAAGGTTTTTAAAAGGCAGAGCCTGCCATGCTCCAGTTTCTCTAACAAACATGAACCTGCTGCTATCTACTGAGCATTCTACCGAGCCTCCAAGAGCCACCAGTGCTAAGAGCAGCAAACATTCAACCTGCCCTCTTGTCATACAGAGCTGCAAAGTTCTGAGCTGCATGAGCTGAGAAAAACTCAGAATTCCTGGTCAGTATTTTTATGTGTTGGCTCTTGCTGTTTCCAGGCTGGGGGTTCAGTATGGGAACCAAGTACCACTTCCACAGCTGGAGAGTCTTTGTACTCGTGTGTGCTCTGCCCTGTATCGCCTCCCTGGTGGCACTGAAATTCATGCCTGAAAGCCCACGGTTTTTGCTGGAGGTAAGATGATTCATCTCTGATATCTGCAGAGGATGGCAGGTCCCTAACGTGTCACTGTCTGTCTTTCTTTGTCCCATCAAACACACAGAGCACAAGCTCAGAGGCAAAGCCACTCCTATGTGTCTACACCAGCTGCACTGACTGCTTGAACCCCAAAGACTGTAGACTGTGGGGTCAGTCACTGATGATTAGTGTGTCACTACCAGATGGGGTACAGAAGGAAGGTAGTAAGAGATGGGAATTTTTTATGTCCAACAAAGGCACTTTGAAAACATCTGACAGAGTTTGGGCATGGAACTACTGAATCCTGGTGGTAGAGCAAAGGGTAAAATACATTTCATTGAGTAAAATACTTAAACCTCAGAAATCTTAAGCAAGTATTCTGTATCTCCACTTCACAGATGGGAAAAATAGCAATACATAGTTCGAGCCTGCAAGTCTTTAGCAGAGTTGGGATGAGGGTCCAATTCTCCTCATCCATTTCATTTTCTTTCATCTGTTTTTAAAGCTCTATCCCTAACCCCTTTTCTGCCTCAGGCAGTTTTAGGACAACTCCTTTCTCCAGTACAGAGATGTTGCACTCAGTGAACACCAACCATGCTTTCAGCTCCTTGGGTTTCATGCAGCCCAGGCTGCCTGTGTGCTTCTCTGCTATGCTGGACCTCTAGGATTGCTTTCTCTCCGTGCTTTGATAAATTACAGAGCTGGGAGCTTGAACATCTGCTTTTCTTCTCTTTGGTATTTTCAGATTGGTAAACATGATGAAGCTTGGATGATACTCAAGCAAGTTCACGACACCAACATGCGGGCCAAGGGCGAGCCAGAGAGGGTGTTCACGGTGAGTTGAGCAAAGCCATTGGGTATGAAAAGCTGGACATACCCTCCTTAGTGCAGCACAGCACGACTTCATTTCTCCTTGGGACTCTTTCAACGTAATCTCTCCCCCAGCAACCAGAAAAAGGACTGTGAGAAACACGTTGTGTGTTTAAACTTAGATGCCAGTCTGTTTTTCCAAGAATTATCAAGTCTGTCGATTGCAGTGAGTACTCATCATTCCTGGTGTTACTCTGCATCCTTTAGATCAGTGATTTCTCAATTATGCACGTTTAATTGGCTTGCTCTAAGAGACTAAAACAAAATAAGAGACATATTAGCCGTGTGGGAGACCTGAGTCACTCCTTTCTCCATTCTGGCTTCTAATCAAAGTCTAATTAAACTTGATATACTTTCTAATGAGCTTTCCAAACTCCACCTGCCTCATATCCACTCTTTAATCTCTCCAAGGGAAAGTGGGATGAGTGGCTATTACTCATTGGTCTGCTGCTTGTTGTGAAAAAGGTCACACCAGCAGAGTCATTAACAGTGAAATCAGAGGAAAGGCTTATGCTGGGGTTAGCTGCAAATTACTATAATTCAGTGTTACAATCCTGGTGAGCCAGCCAGGGAAGAACTCTTGATTTATTCTTTTAAAGATGAGAGCACATATGCTTTTAAAGGATGGAAAAAAAGGAAATACACTTGTGTGTGAAACATGTATTTTTGATCAAGAAGGAGAGCAACACTCCATGTTCAGAAGGGTTGTCAGGAGACTGTGCCCCTTGGGAGTGATCTTTGAGGAAAATAAAATTTAATATCTGAGCATGATAATTGCATGCAGGTTCATGTAGGATCTTAATGAGTGTGTGTTATTTTTAGGCTATCAACCATTTGAGTAATGCAAGCCCTGATAGCAAAGGTGAGAGAGATGTTTTCTTCAAATCCATCACTGGCTTTGCTATAATGCTGAGCTGGGAAATTGTGGCAAGCACATTTCTCTCATTCTCAAGATTTTTCATAGAGGTGCACAGAGAGAAATGAAAGAGAAAACAATTTCTATTTCTGCTCCTTGTTTTTCCCATGTGGAATGTGTTTGGAGAATTGTTTACCTGGAGTGAGTGCTTGATTGGATTCTGGTGAGGACTGTTTGAGCCTGATGGCCAATCCAATCCAATCCAATCCAATCCAATCCAATCCAATCCAATCCAATCCAATCCAATCCGCCTGTGTGTGTACTCTTGAGAGAGGGTCACGAGTTGTGTTAGAGTCAGAGAAAGTAGTATGTAGTTTTATTATCCTCCTTTTATATAGTATATTAATGTATTTTAGCATAGTTATAATAAAGAAATAATTCAGCCTTCTGAATTGAGTCAGACATCGTCATTTCTTCCCATTGGGTTCGCCTGCATTTACAATAGGAAATGAAGCTCAAATATAAATATATATAAATATATTTATATATCTCACGAAGTAGGGCACTGTGAGAGTCTGAGCTGAGTAGAAGAAGGAAGGAGCAGCTGTACAGCCTCCATTAGTGCTCGTTACTCCGTGCCACAGGGCCATGACTGCAGTGGGGGAGCTGAGCTCGGCGTCGCACCCCGAGGCACCCGCTGAGCCGAGAGGGACTGGCACAGGAGGGTGCTCAGTGCTCCTGGGGTGGCACAAACTGCCAGGGTTTCTGCTTTTCTGACAGGCCAGAAGTTGTCAGTTTGTGGTGAGTCAGCCTGTACGGGACAGTTCCCACATCTGACATTTAATTGGTGCCAGGAAAAGGAATGTGGAGACTCCGCAGCTGAGCCAAGGCGTTTGTTCACACTCAGAAATTTATTCAGCAGATTTTCGCCTCCTCCATGTGTTTACAAACAGTTCTGTTTTCCTTGAATATGTTCTTTAATTTAATTTACTAAGCAAATATTTATTGGTATACATTTGTAAGTTTTACTGAACAAGTTTTCCAGGTATTCAGCAGTGAAAATTCAGATTGTTTTGCTGAAACAAATTGGTTGAATTGTGTGGGCTCATTTGATGGCAGGATACATTTTCAGCTGCAAAGATTCCCATCTACACATTTATTTGTCATAGAAGTTCTGTCAGGGGTATTTAAAAGATATTGAAATGAGAAATATTCCTGCCAGTTGTCTTAGAAGAATGAAATCCTGAGGACACAGTTTGGGTACAAATGGCTGATCTTGGAGATAATTTTTACTGTACTTTCTGAGTTCTAGTTTATAGTGGGAATCTGAAGATAGAGAAATAAGGTAGTATACAGGTACATTAGCCAGCAAATGAAAGATTGAAGTGGACATGATATACTTAAAGTTACTTAAAATATTTCATGGAAGACGAGAGAGAAGATGAAGTGACGGATGAAAAGAAGGAAGCAAGGCTTATTTCTGTTAATAGTCTCTTGCTGTAATTAAATCAATGAGTTAAATTGCTAATGCTAACTTTCAAGGAAAAAATAATAGGAGTTATTAGGTAGAAACATTGCCCAGAAGGCAGTGGAATTTAAATCTACCCAAGATCAATTCTAGAAACAGCAGTCCAATTTTTTTCCTTTTTTTTTTTTTTTTTTTTTTTTTTTTTTTTTTTTTTTCCCTAGGTTTCCTATATCAAAACTCCAAAGCAAGTAGATGAATTTATTGAAATCCAGAGCTCAACAGGGACCTGGTACCAGCGATGGCTGGTCAGAATCACAACTACTTTAAAACAGGTAAGGAGAAGAGAAAAACTTCACACAGTGCACCAGTGTCTCTTTACTTCAGCTCATTGTACCTTGAAACCCTGATTCTCACCTCAGAAAATCTTCTGGTTTTTGCAAAGATCTGTAATCTGACTGCACTTTCTGTGCAGATGTGGGTGCCTGCAAGCTGCCAAGCTGCCAGCCAGACCCCAAAATGCCCCTGTGGGCATCACTATCATCCAGCAGTGCAGAGCTCCCCAGGAGCAGCCACAGCCCCAAGCACTTGGCTCTCCTCCTGAGCAGATAAATATTGATTCTCTCTCCCCAAGCCTAAGGGAAATTACCAGCTGCAAGGGAGGCAGAAAGTGTTTGCTCTTTGTTCCTGCTGAGACCAAGTTTCTAAGAATGTTATAATGTCTCCTAGGCTAATTTAAACTTTCACACCTGCTATGCTGCTCACCTAATGCCCATGTAGGACTGGAAAACGTTGCTAGAACTTCTAGTCTTGAAGGATGAGCTGAAAATAAAGTTCTTAATTAATAGCAATGCAGGGACTATACTATTACTAGAGCTTGAGGAGCTACATCCCCTCACATTCTTGGCAGCATTTTCTGCAATGAGTCAAGAGCAGATCTTGGTTTGCCTCCTGCTTGGCTTCATCCCTACCTGATTTCATCTTATACCTCCTAAAGTGCCAGCTGTGTTTGGGCTTTTGCTCTTCAGAGAGCTTTTGATCTCAGTTTGAAAGCTCTCCTGACACCACACATATTTTTGAAAAGATAAAGTTGTCAGAGGGTCTGAGAACAATCTCACATCCACATTTGCTGATATAACCTGAGGAAGACACTACCTCATCCCCAACCCTAATCATGCACTCCAGCTCAGATCAAGTACTCTGGTACTGAGCTGAATGAGTGATTTTTTTGTAAGCCATTTACTCAATAGATATAATTTTGAAAAAACACTGAATATAAGCCACACTTCTGACTTTCCCCTAATGAACCCATTTTTCTGACATCAGGTTTCTGATGCACTCAGAAATTAAGCTGTCAAGTGTCTGCTGGGGTGTCCTGGCAGCTAATTCCTTCTTGTGGATTTGTAGGTCTGGGACAACGTGCTATATTGTTTAACAGCCCAGTACAGGATGAACACACTGATGCTGGCTGTGGTTTGGTTTACAATGGCCTTAAGGTAAGGAAGATACTTCTTTATACTTTTCAGGAAACTAAAGCACTATTCAGAGTCTGAATAGTTATTTACACATGTAAATAAACTATTACAAAATTAATCCTGTTCTTATTTTAAAGAGTCTTTGTGAGCTAAGCCTTGCTCTCCTACAAATATTGATCAACCTGACTGCCTTATATGAGGTACAAGGTGCTTTGAACAAATCAGGACTTGAGAAGTGGTTGGTAGCACAGCAGTAGATTGACTTTCTCACCTTTAGGTCTTTCATTTGATCTTATCCACTCACACACACAAAAAAGACACAGCCCTACCAGACTCCCAGCTGTTCCTTAGTCTACATAAAAACCACTCAGGGGAATCTAAATCTAATCTACAGGTAAATTTTGTCTAATTCTCACTTGAACTGCACACTTAGAGAAATCTGCCCAATTTGTTTCTTCTCTGCTAATTTAATGGGTAGCAAGGTTAGCACATTTCTTTATTCCCCAGCCAAGGGGAACTGAAATGAATTGTCCTGCTTCAAGTGAAAGGGAATGGACCAACACACATCTGAGATCAGCAGGGTGCTCAGAGTGCAGAAACACTTTGCCCAGTCCCATGTCAGAACTGAGCAAGAATTTGTGTCAGAGATACATTCAAATTTGGAGTTCAACAAGTTTACAAGCTGTGAAGTAGATCTCTGGAAGAATCTCGTGTCCCTGATGTGTGTCCCAATCCTGCTGCAGTTACTATGGCCTTATTGTCTGGTTCCCTGACATGATCCGCTACTTCCAAGATGAGGCATATGAATCCCGAGTGAAGATCTTTGATGAGGAAGAAGTGTCTCATTTCACCTTTAATTTCACCCTGGAAAACCAGATCCATAGAAATGGGGAATACAGGAATGACAAGTAAGTGAACAGAATTTGCTTTGATGTATTCAAACTGAAATAAATTTCTAGAATGCGCTTTCTTTCTTTTCCATTTTTCATCAACTTGAACTTCTCTGTTGTTCTTTTGGACACTCAATCTAAATCTCTCAAGTCCCAGAGGCAGTTTTTGACAGATGAAATATCATTTTAATCCTTTTTTTCCACCTGCTTTGCCTCTGCCACTGACTTCTGCAGAACCTAGGGGATGCCTGTGAGGAATCCTGCTTCCAGCAGCCCTTTGTTGGGATCAGGGCAGCAAGTGTCAACTGGCTGTGCTGGGCAGCCCTGGATGCAGAGGTGACTTCTTTTTCCTTAGCCCACACTGACATCTACTGGGCTTGGGCAGCCACTGGTAATGAAATTGCTGATGTATTTCCAAAAGAAATAGCTATTTCTTCTTTAAGTTCTCTGTATGATTTACCCCAGTTTTCATCCTGCAGCCCATGGCTAACTGGGCCATGGCCATACTGGGGTGCTTCTCCCACTGCAGGCACTGTCTCCCCACAGATGAGTGAGTCACCTTCTCTTTTAGTGTTTTGAAGTCAGTGTATTTGCTCCAGGAGAGCATCATTGCTTTCCTTCCCTTCTTCCTCCTATTTGGGCTGGACTTGTTTTTTTATTGCATCCAGCCTGGACTCCAATCACACTACATTCCACAGCAATGTAAATCCTAGTCATTCCATTACTGCTTTTCAAAATCCCAATAAAAAGGAAAAATATCCCTGTGTAATTTCTGTGATCTCATTGCCCTAACAGGATGCTGCTCCAGCTGCCTTGCTGGAGGGAGCTCCTCCCCATGTTCAATGTTACACAAAACACTCATTGTTTTAATCTTCACAGCTGAAACCACATCTCATTGCCCAACCAGGTTGTTCCAATCCCCTCAGAAACTATTTCCTTGTTATAGATTTGATATACATTGGTAGGGGACCCCAACATGTGTCCTCATGTCCTTCCATACACCTTCCCTGCAGCAAGGAGCTGAGCTTGACGATGCAAACCTAGCCCCACAATTCCTGCTCCCCAAGAGAAAGAGGTGAGAAGTAGAGAAGTCAAATTTAGGGACTGGGGACATTTTTTTTCTGCCTACAGGAGGTGCTGAATTTTCACTAACTTCATTGAGAATTAAGGATACTCAGCACCTTGCTGGATGAAGACATAAACCTGATGTAAATCACTGTTCTCCCACCTTGGCCCTCTCCATTTCAAATACTCAAAACCTCATCAAGCTAAATTGCAGTAATGCCCAGAAATTATCTCAGTGTGGTTTACAGCTGTGTTTTCTGCTGCCCTTGGCTGTGAGCTAAAACTCTGTGGATCACCAGGCCATTGCTATCTGACTCTTCTAAAGCTGGGTGTTAAAGAAAGCAAACTGCAGGGGGGAAAATGGGTTTTAACAGCTTTTAGGAGTAAATACATCACAGGCAAATACATGATTGAGTAAATGCAGAACAGCTTAAGTTTTGCTGTAACCTATAAGACCCTCTGCATGGAGCAAAACACTTGAACAATCTCGTGGTACTTTGTGCATTAATAATTTCAGTTAGGCTCAGTCAAGAAGCCCTGCAGTGCTCATTTAAAGGTGTAAACAACCATCACGTTATGCTGTGTTAAAAGTGCTCAATTCAATTAAGCTGCAGAGTATATTTTAGAAGGCCTTTTTTCATCTGGTGACAGTCATGGCCTCTTTAACTGGAGCAATAATGCTTGTTCTTAATAGCTCCTTACATCTTCTAAACGTGTCTGTGCATTACCTAATACATCTTCTCAGTGTTCCTGCAAAATCTCACAGGTAAATCAATATTGTGTCATCCTTCAGGCAGCCAGGTCAGACATGTCACACTTCCCATCAGAGGAGTAATCAATCACCTGACACAGTTTATTATTTTTAGTGAAATCTGTTTTCATTACATGATAAGTAATAAACCTCAAACAGACATGGTTACAAGCAGAACTCAGATAATCTCCCCACTCTCTCCAGAATCCCTACTGCATTTTCACTTAAAAAATCACTTTGAGTTTAAACAACTGTCAGAAACCTTTCACCAAATGGCTCAATATGCTTCTGATAATGTCTGGTTTTATTTATGATGGAGGAAGGGAGAGACTAAAGAAGGCAGCAAGGTCAGCTCATGAAGGAAATGCCCTGCATTGAGTGGAATTCTCTCTTCTTCAGACAGACTAGGATGGAACATGAGATGATTTGTGTCTACATAGCTTTAGAAGCACATTTTCTTGGATGTGATTATTTTGAGGAATAGAAAAACTGCACAAATCCTAAAAGATCCATGTCTCTTCTAAAAAAATACTCTTCAGACCCTTCCCTCCTAATAAAACACAGAAGGACCTGGAGGGAGTTAGGCATTCAAGCAACACCTTTTCTGTAAATGACACTAGAAATTAGAATTAGTGCTCTGTCTCTTGGAACAGCCACTGCACACTATACAGTGTAGAAAATATCTTAAAGCACAGAGTGAAGTTCTGTTTCCTGCCCCACAGATTTATTGGCATGAAATTCAAGGAAGTGAGATTTGAGGATTCATTATTTGAAGATTGCTACTTTGAAGATGTGAGATCCAGTGAGACCTTCTTTGAAAACTGCACCATCATCTCTACTGTCTTTTATAACACTGGTAATGGGATTCCTGTTGTCATCTCTATAACTAGGAACTTTTTTTTATCAGAAAACTATTTTATTAGAACTATTTTATTTGCTTTCTAGGAGAAAAGATGGTAGGGATTTGTGTGTTTGAGTGTGTGCTGGGTAATGAGAGTGATGCTGGAGGCAAAGAGTGTGATGCATTTGGAGGGAGTCCATCAATGATTTTAACCCCATGGCTTCTGCTGTCTCTGGGTGCTGCATGGGAAATGCAAAATTCTGTGCTCAGGCCCTGACAGGTTAAAGTAATGGCAAAATTCTCAGCACTTTACAGCTGTACTCAGTAAAACTGGCTTAAAGTATAATTTCAAGCCACCAGCAGTTGAAGATCACCAGCAGTAAAATAGTCACAAATTAATACCAAACAAAACCTCTTAACGTCTACTCTAATAAAGAACAAATTTTTATGCTATGAAAACCAAAGCCTGTGTTGCCCTGTCCTTGTGGCATGGAGATACTGGTTCAGTATACTGAGTATACTCCACAAATAAAAGGAGCTTGCATCTACCAGGAGCCAAAGACTCAGCTAGAGTCTATCACTCTAATAAATTTCCACTGAAATAAATACTCCCTGGCCATTTCCACTGGATGAGAAACTTCTCTTGGGTCTTTGGTTTCATCCTTGCTGTTGTATGAGGAGAGTTCAGCCAAGCAGGGTCAAGCCTTTGCCTTTTTCCCTTACAGATCTGTACGAACACAAATTCATCAACTGCAGGCTCATCAACAGCACGTTCATGAAGGAGAAGGAAGGCTGCCACATCGACTTTGAGGAGGACAATGATTTTCTGATCTACCTGGTCAGCTTCCTGGGCAGCCTGTCTGTGCTGCCAGGCAACATCATCTCTGCTCTGCTCATGGACAAAATTGGGAGGATAAAGATGATTGGTGAGTGGGGGTGGTGGGTGATGGGGCAGGACAGGGTAGAGCACACTCCTGCAAAGAGCCCTGCTCGCTGGGGTGGCTCTGGTGGGAACGAATTGTCCCCAAAACAAAAGGAGCAGAAGAATAAAGACTAGAGGGTGAGGCAGGTGATCCATGGCAGTGAGCAACTGACCTACTCCCCTTCTCCTCACCCTGCTTTTCTCTGTGTCTGTAACATCTTTTTTATTTTTTAATTTTGCCATTTGTGTCAAATCCTGCATGTTTTTGCAGCATTCAGCAAATCAGGGTCAGAGCTAAAAAAGGACCTCTTGGTCCTGTTGAGTTGCTGCTGAAGTCCAAAGCCTCTGTATAAATAAATGAACATTTTGCTGGTAGCAATGAATATTCACAAAGGTTATTTGATGTGACAGCTTGACAGCCCAGGAATTCCCTCTTTTGTTTTTTATCTGATTTTCAAATGATTGCACAAGCAGCTTCAGAGACCATATGGTAAATTAACTGACCATGTCACAGCCAAGAAAGGAGCCACCCTTTAGCATCAAGATAATAAGTTATCAAGTTATCACCTTATCAGCTTTATGAATACTTTGGGAATTGCTGATGCTGCAGCCTCCAGGTTCAGACCTTGCTCTCATCCCATGATATGGGAATCATGCCCTGAGGGACAGCCAAAGGGATGTGGCTCAGGGGTAAGGGATGAATCGCTCTCTTGAGCTCTTCTCCTTCCTCTGAGAACAGAGGGAAGGTTTAGCTCAACCTCACCTTCAGACAGGATAAAGTAGAACAAAATGACTGGGTCATGAATTTACACTGAGGGAAAATGAGCATTCATGTGGTGAATTTGAAAGGACCCAAACAAACCAGAGGATCTGTGAGAAATAAATGAGAATGAGAATCAGATTGTCCATCCTGCAAACATGTCAGCATTTCAGCATTTTCATCTGGAATGGAGATGACAGCTGAAGCCCTAAATGCTTATTTCTCCTGCAAAAAGAAGAGAAAAGGACAAAAATCAGTAATGACATGCTGAAACGTTTCGCTATGGAATTTCCAATTGAAAGAGCCTTCTGGCGTCCCACCTGTATCACTCTGTCGAACATATTATTTCTGCTCAGCTTAACAGGAAAACTGAATTTCTCCTTTGTGTTACGTGCCTTGCTGGGGCTTCAATTCATTTTTATCACATCCTGCCAAACCTTCTCTTGTTCAAAACAGCAGATCTCTTGGTGCCCTCACAGTGACCAGTGCTGAGCTGGGCTTTTGCAGCAGGGGGAATATCCACACCACACTGTGGGGATGTAGTTTGGCCTTGTACCATGGAGGAGAAGTGGCCATGGACTCCTGCACAGCAGCTTTTCATAGGCAGGCCACTGCAGTGGCAAGATGCAATATAATGTCAAAATTGAAGCATTTTAGTTACACTTCAGCACCCAAATTATTTTGGATGGTGCTAAATTGACTCCAAAACCACCAAACAACAGAGAAAATTCTTTGCTTTTCTGGTAATAAATGGAGATATTTCATTGATAACAGAACATTCTTGTGAAAAAATAGTTTGATTTCTCCCAAATTTCATCTTTCAGTTGAAAATTCCCAATGGGATAGAAAGCAGTGATGTAGCTATTAATATTTCTGAATCTGAACTGTGCCTAACTGAGCATGAATGCTCTCACTTTCTCCCTCGGTGATGTTCATGAAATTATGGCTCCTGTGCAAATGTGCCATGAAATCTAATGATGTTCTTATAATTAAAAGAGACCTCAAGTGCTTCATGCAAGTGACTGTAAATTAATCTAATTGGGACTAGAAATGTGTCAAGTGACTTCAATACGATATGAAATGCACAAGCTTATCACTTGGAACTCAAGTTGAAAAACCTTCACAATGATGCTTCCTCCTTATTGACTTTCATGTTTATTTGCCTCTGCTCTTCCTGGGTCCCTCTGGAAGTCTGAGATGCTGAAAGCCTGCCTGGAAAAGCCTGTCTTCACAGTCTTTGTAGAGCAGGACTATCAGCAAGATCAGGTGGACATTGAGAACATTTCCAGGCTGGCTTCCAGCATCAGAGAATGACAGATAAGCAGCATCAAGGTGTTTTTGGAATCTCACAGATTTTATTCTCATTGGGATGAAATGCCATCACTTGAAAGCCATCTTTAACAAAAGTATTTGCCCAGCTGTGGACAGGGGATTGATGCCAGCATTTTTCTGTTGGTTTCCCCCTGTAGGTGGCTCGATGCTGATCTCAGCTGTGTGCTGCTTCTTCCTGTTCTTCGGGAACAGCGAGTCGGCGATGATCGGCTGGCAGTGCCTCTTCTGTGGGGCCAGCATCGCCGCCTGGAACGCCCTGGATGTCATCACCGTGGAGCTCTACCCCACCGACAAAAGGTGCTCAGGACATTTCTCCTTTTAGTCTCCACCCTCTACCTGGTCCTCTTGGTTCCCAACGGAGAAAGCCGCCCTAGAGACATGTAGATGGGGGAGCTGTATCTTTTTTATTTATTTGTTTTACTTTCACCAGTCCTTCAGGGCTGTGTAATCCTGGGTCAGAAGAGACATTTGCAAGCATAATTCTGCATGCGTGGCAGGTGGAACACAGGGATCACGCGGACATACGGAAATTATGCACTGATAAATCAAAGAATCATGATATCATAGAATAGTTTGGGTTGGAAGGGACCTTAAAGATCAACTAGTTCTAAAGCACCAAATGAAAGAAGTTCTCTGTAATTTCCATGGATGTGCATGGAGGTCTGGCCTTTCACACGGCATTCCCATCCTCTCATCATGGCTCATCACTGAGGCAGCCCTCCCCTCCATCTCCAAAACCAGGGGAAAACCATGTACACAGAGTGATTTCAGACATGGGGAAGAGCAGGAGACTTTGGGGCAATGTCCTGCAGATTAAATCTTTCCTTACATCATTATAAGCCCCTTTTTGCCTTTTTTAGACTGTTGGGGGAAGCCAGAAATGAAGGAGAGGGACTGTACACTGAACATAGTAGGCATTTAGCTGCTGGGTGAAACAGGATTTAGAGGAGAGCTGTGATTGCTTCTCTGGTGACAACCCACTCCAGGCAGCTCTTGGAAGGGCTTTGAGGAGTTCTAGAGCAGATTTTGTCCTGCTGTCTTTGGGGAGGGCAAAGGCTGACAGAATGGGTCATTCAAGGGTCCTAGAGTGGGTCACTCTAGGGAGAAGGTGAGATGAAAAGGAGAAATGAGTGCACACAGACATTCTCCTCATTCACACAGACATGCAAAGCAGCTGCATCTATTTATCTACTTATTTATTCCACCCAGTTTTATTCGCTAGAAGCGTAACCTGGGTAGCATAGGAGCATTCACAAAATTACCCATCCAAACCTTCTGTAGTTGTGCCAGAACCTAACCATCGCTTGTGCCTCCTAACCATTGCTTTTCTGCTTTTCCTCCCCACAGGGCAACAGCCTTTGGCATCCTCAATGGGCTTTGCAAGTTTGGTGCCATCCTGGGGAACTCCATCTTCTCCTCCTTCGTAGGGATAACCAAGGTGGTTCCCATCCTTCTGGCCTCCTCCGCTCTGGTTGGAGGTGGCCTGCTGGCTCTGCGCCTGCCAGAGACTCGAGAACAGGTCCTGATGTGAGCAGCAGAGGCTGTGGGGGCTTGTGTGTGGGGGGGCAGATATAGGAGAAGAACAAAAAAGAGCCGTGTCTGGAAAAGCCCAAAAAGTTTATTCTGTACTGTTCTGTGGGTACCTCAAAGCAAGGCGGCAGAGGGAAAGAAGAACCCGCAGGGATTTAAACAAAACCGTCGTTCCTGACCTTATCACAGCCACAGCTGGTGCATGCAGCCCCCACACACCCCTTGCAGAGCTTGGGTTCCACCCTGCCCCTGTCCATCCCCCTGCAAGGACACCAGTGGCTCCGTGCCCGCGTGGGTGTGACACGGGAGGACAGACCCGACCCTCCTGCCCCTGCCCAGCTGGGACACCCTGGGACACCCTGGGACACCCTGGGACACCCTGCCCTGCCTGCCCAGCACTCCTTGGTCAGCCTCCTCAGCTGTCTCAGACATGCAGAGCGTCTGGGGCAGGCAGGTAACAAACCTGCTGTAGGTGAGCTCCAGCAACAGGGGGAAGAGTTGCAGATGTGGCCAGAGGTCTCAGCTGTCTTGATTTTGGGATTACCACTCCACCCACCTGGAAAAGTGATTATCCTGATTTCTTGAGGATGTAAGGTGGGTGGTTAGATGTCTCAGAAGACTCAGAGCTTCAAAGCCCTTTACTGTTTACTTGGGCACAGGGAATCACTAGACACCTTCTTGCTGTGGAAGAGAAATATCTAAATAATTATATCTATATATATGTATTTACACCTACTTGCAAGCATACATACACCCACTGAAGTGATCAGCTACTTAAATTTAGGATTTCTAATTTCTGCACCCTTAAGAGGATTTTAAGAGTGGCACTAGAAACAAATCCCAGTAATTCAAGTTTATCAGGAGTCACGACCAACTTAGTGACACTTTGTTCTTTACATCCAGATACCAAATATTTAAATGTATTTGTGGCTGGGAATATTTCTATAATGATTAAGAGGGTTTTTTCCCTACAACTTTCACAGAGGAGAAATTGATATGATATTGGAGCATTCCACAAACCAAATGTGTACATATTATCCAGTGTAAATAGGGGATTTTTGCCTAATACCTAGAGAATGGTAACTGTGAATTTACCAGCATTTTAGCCATATTATTTGAAGAATATGATGCTTGATTTTATAATATACTTGGGTCTCATTGAAACACTGTAAGCACAGTTACTTAAAGCCATTTAACTTGTTACACAGGGAATGCACACAGCAAGCTTTCGCTGCACAGAACACTAAATTCCCCATTAAGTGGCATAGTTTAGTTTGATATCCTGTAGAGAACATTTCTGAAATTCATGTGCCCTTTTTATCATACAAGTCCTGTTGCACCTAGAGGCAGAGCGAGTTGTGTATTTTGGGTGTGCTTTCTTGAGAAACCAGAATGAAAAGCACCCTGTTCAATAACACACCAGTGCTCACAATGGATGAGATAACACTAATTATACCCTTTCAACAAGCTCAGCAACAGACCAGAATTGATCTGAAACCACCACGTAGCGCAGCTAATTTATCAAACCAGGATATTTTGTGACATAAAAAAGTTCTTTTGTACTTTTGCTGGTGATCTTCTCATTTACCTTTTGTTGGATCTTGTTTGTTGGTTTTTGTTTGGGTTTGCTTTTTTTTGGTGATTTTTTTTTAAGAAAACCAAGCAAGGCTAGGCTGAAATCCTGCAGGAGTGATGTCTCACAGCCCTGCCTTTGGCTGCACTTAGGCTGGCTGGCACCAGGGCCAGCCCAGGCTGCAGCTGTGGGACTCAGCGTGGTGCTGCTGCAGGGGCAGCTGAAGGACACAGCAGGGATAGATCACAAGCAGCAAATCCTTGCCAATGAGGCAAAAGCCTCTAATGGGCATCACTTTTATCATTGTGTCAATCAGGGATAAACACTCATGGATCAGCTAGGCTACAATGGGCTGTTTGAGATTTTTGACCTTTATTCTGAGGTTTATGAAATTGATGAAATCACAAGCTGCTGTAATAACCAAGCTTTTGATGCCTCATTTCTTCATTTTATGGGTAGCTTAGGGCTTATTATTATTATTATTAATTTTATTTATTTGTCTTCTAAACAGCAAGGTTCCTTCTCTAAGGTAGGAGTGAATGTAATTATGTCCTTTGGCAGCAGTTCACAGCTTCTGTTCAGAATCACAGCCCAGAATGTGGGTTTTTTCTCTAGGAATATCAGGTCTTTTTGCATGATGAGAAACAGTTTAAATATGTATTTTAACACAAAAGGTCACCATGACCTTTAGGTTTTATCCATTTTGTTGGGTTGTGCTTGCCAGTTACCATATTGCAACTGGACAGAGGGGGAGAAATTTTGTTTCGTTTTCTGGATGATTTGCTTGTGCTGCTCTGAGGAGCTAGAACCTATTTGTCTAAATATTTATTTTGCATAATATTCGTATTTACATATCACCCAACGCTCACAGCAAACCTGACTATTTGTGTTCTCCATTGACATTTTGCAGTGACATTAATGACATCATTTATTTAGCAAAGCTTCCCTGTTAATTTTCAGAGAAGGAAGAAACTGAAATCATGAGGAGATAGAAATGGCAAGGTAGTATTAGGAAATATTATCCAAACTTAGAAACCTTTCTTCCTTACAAAATTACTAAACCTCACCTCACAGACCAGCTGGGAACAGGTAAAGAGTAAAGGGATCTCATTGTCAGTGTCACCTGGAAATTCTTTGCACCCCTAAAATTCATGGGTCAGTCACTTGAGGGCTAAGGGATATTGCACGTGTTGGGACAAGGCTCCTACCCCTGACTTGACCAGGGAGTTTGTGACCTAACAGGAGAGAGCAAACACACAGCACAGCTCTGGCGTATGAGAGCCTGAGATAAAGGACAGCTAAGGGCAGAGAAGGAAGCAAGGAAAAGCTGAGGAGAGCTCCCATCACCTAGCAGAGACACCTCGGGCTGGACTGCATGGATTGCCATTATTCCCAGCTGAAAAGGCTGAGGGAATGTGTGGGACCCTGCCCAGGCCCTGTGTGAGCTGGAGATGACTGGCCTTGGACAGTCCTTCTTCTTCAGGGACAGAGAGATCCAGGGCAACAGCTCCAGCTCAGGCATTGCATTTGTGCCACCTGGGCTGAAATCTCCCACCCACTTCAGTGGGGACAGGCTTAGTCAATATTCCCAATGTGTTTGTTTGCTGTCCTTGTCATGGTGTAAATCAGTGTAGGTATCACTGCTGCTCTCCAGGGCAAAACAGCATCTGGGTGCAGACTCCTCTTCATTGGCTGGGGTTTGTTTTGGGCTCAGTTTCAAACCTTGGCCACCTGCTAGGCTTAGCCTCAGTCACAGATCCTTGAGCCTCAAGCAAGGGAAGATTTCTCCTCAGGCACCTCCTCTGATGGCTCAGCTCAATTTCTGCTGTAAAATCATCATTGCCCCTGCTGTTCAAGGGCCAGCACATCTCCTCCCTCAGTTCCCCTGCCCATGCCTGCCACAGGGAACTGCCTCTGTCTTGGACACACTGGACCATCCACGGAGAAATCTGCTGGCCACAGGTCCCCTGATGGTCTCTGCACAGCACCATTTCCATGGATTTGTGAACTTCACTGCAACAGGAGCACAGAGGACCAAGGCAGGGCACTTGCCTTAAATCCCAAAGATCTCTTCTAGAGGACAGCTGGATCTCCTCATGCCTGTGTGGCACAGCAGGACTTAGCCAGGGACATTGTGGCATGGGAAAGGTGAGTCTAGGGCACCCAGACTGGCCTGCTGTGGCTCTGTGTTTTCAGCTCTGCAGCACTGTAGCAGGAGGAGTCCATTGCTGAATTTCTGAGCATGCAGACACAGGCTTTTATAGGAACACCAAGCACTGTTGATACTATTATTAAAGACCAGTGGGATTACAATAAGAGTTCTGCCTCCTTGTATTCCCTGTTGATTTAACAGGTTGTGGTATCGTGATTTATTTTCTCCAGTTGTGCAGGACAGCTCCTGTTACTGCCTTTGGCTCTGCTGCATCCTAGAGGTGGTGGCTGCAGCTTGTGCTGGGTGGGGCGATCCCCTCCCTGCCCATACCAACATCACTCTGAAATTCCTTGAAATGCTATGGGACTTACAAATGGTGTTGTATGGGATCTTTTGGACTATGAAGAGGGTCGGCCTTGGAAAACCCATATGCAGTGCTAGAGGTTCTGCACACTGGGAAGTGCTCAGGCACATCCTGATGTCCTTCAGTGATACTGGAGAGGCACTGAGGGATGGATGTTCCCCGAGCCTGGGAGTGCTCCAGCCCCAAGGCTGCCTTCACACAAGGGCACAGAGCAGGACTGCATGGAGCTGAGCTTTCTGCAGATTCCAGGTCCCTTCCAGGTCCTGCTTTGAGACCTCCAACAGCAGAGTATACTGTGATGCTCTTAAGGAGGCCCAAAATCCTTTTATATTCCCTGCTTATGTCCTTTGACTTTCCAAAGGAGTCACAAAACCTGAGAGGATATTTTTTAGGTTTAGATTCGAGTCCTATGTATTTTATTTTGCATTAAGTTTCTCCCTCAGTTTCTTACCCTTATATTAGCAAATGCTGCTTTTAGGAAGAATCAAGCCTGAGAACTGTGAAGGAAACAAAATTAAATTAATTTCTTTGCTGTATGTGATGCTAGTGCTGTATAAATGTACACAAACTGCAAGTCCCACTGTAAATAACACCTGGTGTTGTACTTTAATGGAAAGTTTCATTTAGATGTTCTGTCAACTCTGTGTGTGAAATAGCCAATTCCAGTCCCTTGGTTCCTTTTCTTCATTTAAAACCTTCTTTTATTTTTTTTATTTGATCTGTGTCTGGTCGTCACTGGAAATTGAAGCTGTTCTAATGGACTTTGTTCTCTCTGTCACATTAAAAGGCTGGAAGAAAAAGAATGGCTCTTGTAGTGTTTGTGTTTAATGAACATTTTGAGCCTTTTCACAAGGGCTCTACTGGGTAACTTTGTACCCTGACACTGTGAGGGCTTTCTTTGATGTTTGCTACTTGTTCATCCTCCTTCTTTCATAGGATCCCAACTCAATTTAGTCTGCCTTCTATCTCAATCCTTTCTCACCGTGGACTTCCAAACACAGGACATGAGAAAATCTTTACCCTGAGAAATTTTGTGGTAGGAAAAAGCACAAAATATCTCCAAATGCTGTGCAAGACCAAAAAGCTAAACTCTGCTTTGTAACAAGAACATATCCCCAAAGAAGCATTGCTTTTGAGGCTTGGCACACGGTTTGACCACAGTTTACTCCTTTCTCGGATGCATTTCTAGGGATGTGAGCTCTTTCTTTTTATTTGCAGCTCTTTGTATACATCTAACTGCCCAGGCTATGCTTTCAGAGCAATGATACAGACAGCAGCAACTGTATAGGAAAAGATCTCATGGCACAAGCAGTGGAGGCTGGCTGCCAGACTATAGGGCTTATGCAAGAATTTCTTTATGTAGAACAAAATGCAGTAATCCCACTTCTCCTAGGCCCACTAAAGGGTTTTGATTTAAGTCAGCTCTGTCTTGTTGTTAAGAAATTTAAGTGCTGAAGAGTTGTTGGGTAAATAATTGATTACACATCACATCCACTTCAACATGCCAAAGATAATATTAAAATGAGAGATAAAGAGCAAGAGAGATTGGAAATGTAATAAAGAAACCATGAAGATATTTCCATCATCAGGGGACTAAATCAGCATTTTCCTTCAGGTTGGGTTCAGCTGGGTCCCACAGGACCTGTCTGGGCTGGGGTTCCACTGGGTGAATCAGAGCCAGCAGCAGCCTGGGGTTGGTAAGGACTGGTCTCAGGTGGGAATCAGTAAGGACTGGTCTCAGGTGGGAGCTGCCAGCTGTGAATTTTGCAATGCTCCTGTGCAACTGCAGAGTGCAGAGCTATGGAGTCAACCTTCCCTGAGTCCTTCTGTGTGTTTGGCCTGTAGGAAAAAGTGCATCAGCAAACACCATCAGAAAGCATTTTCTACAAAGTGAGTTTTTAGATAAAGGTCAGAGATTTGCACTGAAAGCCTTGCAGGTGTTTTTGAGTCGTTCTTACTCCAGGCTAGTTGACATTCTGCATAAGGCTGAAGTCTCAGTAAGCAGAAAAATCCCTTATTTGAATGTTCAGGCAGGGTTGCTGATGAAAACAGCACATAAAAACCCCTGACTAATTTTAAAGTAGGGCACAGGGAATTTAAAAGCAGGATTATGTGATCTCTGCCTGAGATCACATAGGATGGACTTGTTGGTAAGAAAACCTTTGCAAATCTGTGCTCCTGCTTTTCCATATTGATGTTCCTGCCCTGACCATCTCGTTTTCATCATGTGGATTTTCTGGCACAGATTCTCCTAGCTACTAATAAATGACCCAGATTCCGTGGATGTGCAAGTTCATCCAAGCTGTCACAGAAGGTTACCTGGTGGAGGAAGAAGGCTGGGGATGATGGCATTCTTAGCAGCCACAAAATCCAGCAATAGGTCCGAGTGATGCTTCTGAATTGTGAAGTGGCTTCATATTATGAATGTGATATGATTCAGGTTATGGTAAAATGGCAAATCATTTTACCAGTGCTCCTGTATCTGAGATCCTAATTTGGGGGCTTTAAAAGTAGAGACCAAACTCGGCAATCTGAGTTCACATTTGTTGAAAAGATAGGGGAAGGGCAAAACTTGGCCAGGTCTTTGTGGATGGGAAATGGAGCTCTGTTTTTTCCAGCTTGGGGCAGAAATTGCTGGAGACTGAGCACCCTGCCAATGCACAAACCATGGCATGATTTTGGGGCTGACACTGAGTAAGTCTGTCCTTCTCAGACAAGGTTTTTTTTTTTTGTGAGCAGGTGATTATAAACCAGAAAAAACTATCAAAGTATTTTTCCCCATTCTCAGTGAAAAAGAAGAATTAGCTGGAGAACTTTCAGCTACCATGGCCAATGCAAATCGTTTATGGGATTATATACAGTTTTTAACATTTTAAGTGTACAGAGTAATTACTGCACTAACCCATACAGTACTATTTGAAAATAATGGAAGTCATATTTAAATTTATTGTTCAGCACTTCTTTTTTCACCTATAAAAACATCTGTGTGTATATACCTACGTACACATATTACACATGTATGCACTTATATGTAAAACTAAATTATTGTGCTTGACCTTACTGATGATGCCGAAGCTTTTTGGGGGATGGAAAGACCAGGAGATGGCAGCAGTTGCCCACAACATTGACTGGTCTCTGCTCACCATAACTGCTGGAGGCTGTGCCCAGGACCCTCATCAGACAGACAAGGTGCTGCAGCAGTGCCCTCAGATACAGCTCACAGGGCTCTGACCCTCAGCGAAATCAGGGAAAAGGAGGTAACAAAAAAAGCAGTGACTCAAAAGTTTAGGGAACAAACAGCGCTGACTAATGCCAAAGCTTTTGGAACGCAAGTTGTGCAAACCTGAAGCAAAGCAAACGTAATTATGGGGGAGAAAATAAGGATTTCTGCTTCAGTAGGTTAGTGCAATGGTTTTCAAGATTTCTCAGCCTGCACAGCCCGAGTGTTTTTCAGGGGAGATGTAGATTCCTTGTGGTAATGTGCTGAGACTGCAGTGAGAGGAGAAAAGCTGTGGGCTGGGCAGAGCCTTACCTGCAGGGCTCTGAGCAGGGCTGTACCAGTGCTGCCTCCTGGGGCAGCCTGCTGAGATGCTGTAGGGATGGGCTTTGCAGACAAGGTCTCCAGCCCAGCTAATCGTGACAAGATGTCACCAGCATTGTCTCATAAGTTCCTCCTTCTCCAGAAGGCAGAACCTTCTGCACTTAAAATTTGGGCTATTAAAAGGAGAAGTCTCGCCACAGAGTGGTTTGGTGAGCCCCTCCCAAATCTCTGTATGAGGAATGTAAGGGGACAACACAGGTATTTATAAGTGCTTTGCTTATCAGCCCAAAACAACCTGAGGCCACAAACCCTCGATGCTTTCTCTATATGGATGATTCAGATCAGAATTCTGATCCTGCTGGGAATTAACCAGCTAAAATCAACATTGCAGCTGTCCTGGCCACAGCTTCCAGAACCTACAGAGCCCAGCCTGAGGCTTGTGATCTTCTTAAGCAGGACTTTATCCCAGCCTTAGGAGCTCACTCCCACCACACCTGGATACAGCTGAGGTCCACCATGGATTTTGTGTTGATGTTTTCTCTCTGAGAACCACAAGTTTAGAATTCCCTGGAAAGCTTTTCCTTCCCTGTAGAAAATAAACAAAAGAGTTACTCAGTAAATACAAACAGAGCTGATAGCAAGGAAAACAAAGCCAGATCTCAAGTGGCTTCACTCCTTGCTTTTGTTAACCTGGCAGAGTAAAGAGACATTCCAGGGAGGATGTGACTTCCCAGGGCTGCAGCCTGTCCAGCATCGAGAGCCATGGGCAGGACAGGAGCAGGATCCACTCCTATCCTGGTGTTTCAGAAGAAGTTGGTAAGATTTCTCCAGAGGGAGCCCTTTCTTAGCCTTGAAGCTGTCTGCTTTAGAATGGGAAAAGAATATTGTACTCAGCCCTCCAAAACACATCTTTGAATGATAAACTCAGTTCTTTTATCCTTTCTTATTTAGGATAAGAGCTTTGAAATCTTCCCAGCAGTCCTGTTCCTTCCCTTAGACCCCTGAACAACAAACTGCTCTGAAGGAACCAGCCTCGTACTGAGCCCTTAGGCCTATTAATATTTCAGAATAACTATTTACAGCCCTCTTTTGACCCTTTCCAAAGAGGTCATCAAGAGTTCTGAGCAGCCTTGGCTTGGCATAGCTGTGGGACCCTGCTAAGTTCCTTTGTCCCTTTTTGCATCCCACCTGGAAGAGGACAGGAACAGTGTCACCTTTGTGTTGGTCTCTGGGACAGATCTCTTGCCTTGTGTGGGATGACCCCTACTTTAGGGGCTCAAGAGACCTTCTCAGACAGATTTTCTGAGGTTTTGGGTTTGGAGTGCCAGCTATTATTCCATGTCCTTGCTGACATTTATCTCTGGTATTGCAGAATGCCCTTCCTCCAGGTCGGTTAAAGCAGCTTTTCCTTGTAAATGCTACACTTTTTTTCCCAAATAACCAGTTTCCCTGTCTTCTCAGTATAAAACTTGTGGGAAGAAAAGCTCATTAAAGAGAAAAAAAGAAAAAGACATAACCCTGAGTGAATGCCACATCAGCTACAGAAGAGTTCAAGGCTGAAATTAAGTGTATCCCTAAATCATGAACATGATTATTGCAACCTTCCAGTGTCCACTGGGAATGAAATATTGCCTTGATAAACTTTAGAGACAGGATTTCATAAAGAAGAAGAAATCTAGATGGGAAGACTAGGCAGGGAAATGTTAACATCCAACCAAACAAAATGCCCCGAATTCAAACCCAAACTTTTTCTGACCATTATCTCGTGTTGAACAGGGGTACCTCCCACTGGAGCAGGCTGTTTAAATCCCCATCCAGCCTTCTCCCAGTGTCACACTGGTCACAGTGCCGAGGCAGAGGCCTCAGCCCAATTCTCTGCTGAGTGTGCAAGCCCCAGGCTCATGGAGGTGTGGGTGGCAAGTTCTCTGAATGAAAATTAGGGTGGTGGTGTGGCTCACTGGAAAGCTGACAGCTCCTTCTCACTTTAGGAGAAGACTTTCTGAACTAGGTCTCTGAGGTGTCTCACGGCACAGCAAAATCTGGGAAAATTGCCTTCTGTCTCTGGGTTTTCTTTTTTCTCGTCAGGTATGACTTCCCCAGGCACCCTCCCTTGCCTGCTGCAGTTGGAATCTGGTGGCATGATGCAAATGAAATGCTGATTTTTAAGCAAGATTATGTAAATCCAATATGTTCAGTCACTGTAGTCCTGGGAATTCCCTTATCAGCAACATAATCATTGAGAATGAGTTCCCCCAGCCT